CACAAAAATGTGATTTTCAAGTACGATTAAAAAGCACAATTACTACAGATTTAAATTTATTCAAGAATTCTATGAAATCATTTAGATTTATCTTTCAATTAATAAAATTCATAAGCCGGTCTTTAAAAATTTAAAAATTTTTCACAAAAATTTGAAGTTTTACTGTTTTCTTATTTTTTTTAATATTCTCATTTTTTATTGTACAAAAAAAGAAACTGCGTACACATACATTCCTATAATGTTTTTTTATTTACTCCGAATTCCAAAAACACAAAAAAAACAAATAATTTATAACAATTTTTCACGAAGATCCGTTTTACTACATACAATCAAATATACATATATACGGTTAATACATAATTATAAATATTTTTACATTGTACTCCTCATTTGATCTTCTTCATATAATATAGTATCTTGTCTTTTGTGACACATATTTACATACATGTACAAAATTTATATACAAAGGTTTTATTTTTTTTTTGTTTTTCTTTTCTTCTGTTTTGTTTATTAGTTTTTGTTTTACTCATATGCCTATATATCCCATTTATTTTGATGTTTTTTTATTACGGGCATATTATTATTATGGGATGCAAAGTTAAGGATTCACATAGCATCATAGTTTTATTTTTAGATCAAAAAAACGTTAGTGCAGCTGAGAAATGATCTTTAAATGATCATTTCTTTTTTTTTGTTCTCTCATTATATATTCACATGCTATATATAATTATATATATATATATATATATCTATATTTTATAACATATTCATGTACTCGCGATCTTTTTCATACATACACGTTTTGCTGTCGGGTACTCGGGTACGTCATACCGAAAGAAAATAAATAAATTTTTTTTTTCGGCAATTTTTTTTCATTTTCCGTTCTCGTACTTTCAGTTTATATTTCATATTTGTAAAGTAAAGTTTCTATTCTAAAATATTTTAAAAATAAAAGAAAATTTTTTTTTTTTTTGAAAAAATTATTATGAAAGAAATAAAAAGAAAATTTTATGGAAATTAAATAACCGGGAAAATAAAAAATCTAATTATTTGTTAATTTTTTTTTTAAATCCTTAAATGATTTAAGATTATTTTAATTTTTAAAACATTTCCATTATAAAAAAACTTATGAAAAATGAGTTTAGACACTTATAATAGAACGGAAATTTTTGAAATTTCCCATCATCATCATCATCATCATAATGAATATGATCATCATATAATTGATGATCAACATACGGATATACCAGAATTTTTTAAATATAATTCAACAACAATGCAATCACCACCAACATCAGAAAATGATTTATCACCACCTCCGCCACCATTACAATTATCATCATCATCTTCATCATCATCTACAAGTAGTCAAACAAATCAAAAATCAAGAAGTCATATAAATGCAAGAGAAAGATGTCGAACTCAAAGGTAAAACAATATACTATATATTATAGGAGAAGAAATTTTCCGGAGTCTAAGTACTAGAAAAACAATGAATTTGGTTTCGATCTCAGCAATTAATAGAGTTTATTTTTCTTTTTTATATAATAATCTTCTGATAAAATTTAAAGTGGGATTTCCTTTTAAAAATTTGATATTCCCAAACTTATTGGAATTTTAAAGTGTATGACCGGCGGAAAAGAATGGAGCGAAAAATTATTATTTCTTTTGAAAAGTAATAGGCAAAAATTTTCTAATTTCCGTTTTATCAAAAATTACTTTGGAATATCAATCTAAAGTCATGGAAATTTAAAAAAAAAATAAAAAAATTTTTTGAATAAAATGATTAGATCATAATTTTTAACACTCCTCTCAAACTGGTATACAATCAATTTAATATAATTAATTTTCAATAATTTAAATTTAATTTTAAAATTATAGTTAAATTCAAAATTATGATGTTAAAATTCTAAAGGTATTTTGTTAGAAAAAAGGGAAACTTGAATTTAAAGAATGAAAAAAAAAACTTAATTAAACTCGAATATATTTTTTCAATCCCTAATATTTTTAATATTACCTATAGTAAATTTATTTTTTCTAAATCACTTCCTATTATTAAAATTTTTCTTAGAAATTTAAATCCTTTTTCGTAAAAAATGTAAAAATAAATATTTCTAAAATTTTTCCAAACTTATATCAGTTCGCTCAATTACACCAAATTTATTATAAAAGATTCAATAGGCTTTTGCTCACTATAGTTAAAAAAAATTGTACTCACACAATACATCCGTGCTTACGATTTCTATTTGTTGAGTCCCTTATAGTCTATTAAGTTGAGTCCCTTAGGTTAAAGCTATTCACCTTAATACAAACTACATTATCAGCAATTAATCAATTATTTAGTATAACCAATTCAGAAATCACGTTAGCCTTTTCAACTTTTCCTAAAAATTTGGTAGCAATTTAATAACCTTGCTAAGGAAATTATTGTAGAAGCCACACAATTTTTTTCTAAAATAAAACTAAAAATCCATTCATTTATAAAATTTTAATATCTAATTTAACATTATATATATATACATATATATTTTACAGTGTTAATATGGCATTCGATGCTTTAAGAGTTTTAATACCAACTGAACCAAGAAATAAAAAATTATCAAAAATAGAAGTATTAAGATTGGCAAATAGTTATATAAAACATTTAGATGCAGTTGTATCAACAGGTATAACAAATTTAAATAAAAATTTAAAAAAATTAAAATTTCTTTTTTAAAATTAATTTTAATAAATAATTTTATAAAATCATAGGTTCCTTAGCAAAACCATGTTTATATGCTTATATGAATACATGTGAAGCAAATGATTTAACAAGAAGATCAGCAATTTGTACATTCTGTCTAACTTCAAATAAAAATGCGTGAAATTCTTCATATTATTATTTTAAGAAAATTTCAAAAGTTTAAAGTACAATAATGATATCATCATAATATTAGCTATACTTAAAATTCGTATACTAATTAGACATATACACAAAAAATAATATAAAAATTATGATCATAAATTGGCGAATAATTTAAATAAAAATTACTTAATTTTATCATTTAAAAAAAAGATCGAATAATATTTAATAACTTACTGATTAAGCATAGTTTTTTACGTAAAAAATTTTTAGCCACAGTGTTTACAATCAATTTCAATTTTTTTTTTTTTTCGAAAAAGGCTACTTTTTAGCCACTAATCAAAAATTTTAACGCTAGGTATGGGATTTTCGATAATTCAATTCTAACTTAGGTCTTAATATAGAACACTTGCGATAAATCAAAACAGCAAAATCAGCGAAAATAGCATGTTCGACAATGTGACAGTTATGCTTAAGGTACTAAAGAAGTACTAAAGGAATTTTTAAGTTTTTTATAACAACTATGAAAATATTATAAATTAAAAGAAGCATATAACAGAAAAATGTTGAATATAAAAGAATTACTAGAGTTGTATTACAAATTTGTAAAAGTAAAATATTCATTTTGTACAAATTTGTAAGTAGACGTGAAAGAAGTTTTAAGATTTAATTTAGAACTTTCAGGTCATGCCTGAATTATCGAAAATCCCCGTATCTGAAGAAGAAATGCAGTAAATTAGTCTAAAAAATACAATATTTTGGAAGAGTATTTTTACTAATACTTAAACTTTATATGATAGAATAGTTATTTCTTAAGTCAACAATAAATTACTATAAAACTATTTAAACAAATAGTTACTTTTATAATATAACAATTAAAAAATATATAAATTGATTTGCATTCAAATTTATACACATGCCAAAAATTTTTTTTATAATATTTTTGAAATTAAATCCCTTAAGATTGTTTTTTTTTTTTTTTGTTCAAAATAGTCATGCCAAAGTTATCTCAAGTAAATATAACAATTAAATACATTCAAAGGTAAAATCATAAGAATTTGATATTTTGTACTTTATCCTTAATTGTTTATAATCTACTTACAATTATATACAATAATATAAATATATATTTACAAAAATAAAATGTATATTTTAATTTTAATGGAAATTGGCGAAGAAAAAATATATCAAAACATGTCGTTATGCCAATATTTTTTTTTTATTTTTTAATTTTATTTTTAAGTGAAATGAAAAAAAAAAAACAATAATTCCAAATATTATACGTTAATGTACTATTAAATTTTAGATTGTTTATAAGAAATATATTGAAATAAATTGAAAATATATAATTATGTTCATACATACATACATACATATTTTTTTGTTCCTGCTGAAATTATTATTTTTTTTTAATATTTTTACATATATGCATATATAATAATATGCTCATACTATATTTGTATTTTAATAAATAAAATTATAGAAGAAATCAAAAAAAATATATGTATCTCTTTTTTATCATAAATTTTTTATCTAGTAATTTGAATTATTTTAAAACAATAATAATAAAAGTAACTATGAATTTTAATATCAGCGAAAATTAAATTTCTATTAAAGTATAAAATAAGAAAATCGCTTGACTTTTGGCGCGAAGAGAGATTTTTAGTTTTATATTAATCCAAAATTTGCATAACTTTGGGCTTATATAAAATTGAAATAGCAAAAATTATAAATGAACATTTTTGAGTACCTGTTGTTTATTAATATAGTTCATTCGTATAACACTTCTTATATGAGGTGATACATTTATGCCACAATCTATTGTGGAATGGTAAATTAAAAGTATAATTAATTTTATTCTGACCCTGACACAAAAACTCAAAACATTCACAAAAATTTTTCATTATCAATATGAACAAACTACGAAAATTCTTAACATGCATTCCTAATTCGGGATGGCCAATGTAATATGTTCACATATGTAATAGGTTCAGTCTTAAATTTTTTTTCATTTCCAATGTTGAAAGCTAAAAAGAAATTAATATAGAGATTTATAGTTGATTATAGAGATTAATATAGAGATTTGAATATTTAACAAAATGGTATGAAGAAAATTAAAACACAACAAACTCTTAAAAAAAATTGTATTTTCGTGCTAATAAAAATATATTCTGTACTTATAACTTTTAATGTAAAAAAAAGCTTAATAGAGTGATAATTATTTTTTTTCAATATAATTAAATTTTTACTTCGATTTTTCTTTTTATATGTTATCAAAATTATAGATTTCTATCAAAATTAAAAATTTTAACCGAATAAAGCGGATGTACGCTCCAAACATGGGCATCCGCATCCAAAAGGACACATATTATGTGTTTTGAACCACTGATCTAAATGTAATAAATGACCTCCATGGCCGCATATAAGACAAGCGTTTGCCATTCCTCTTACTGGAAGACGACATAATGCACAATATAAAACATATTTATGACAATTACTGCAAGACGAAGTTTTACTAACTCGGCCACATGTTGAACATTCAATTGCCCAACCAACACACTGCGGTTCTTGTATTGGATATGATAAATGTTTTAAAACTAAAGATTTTTCAGATAAAAGACCCCAAGAAAATAATATTTCGCTATATAATTTCTTCAAAGAATCGAAGAATAACATTTTTGATTTACTCAAAAATAAGGAACGATTAACATTTATACCAATACTTGGAATTTCTGCTATTGCATTAAAATATTTTAAATCAATGCCATCTAAGGAATCAGACCAAGAATTGCTTCGAAATTGTTTTAATTGCATAGCTAGTGCAGAACTCGTTGAATCAGTAGGCATTATAGTATGATAAGTTGTCATAGGCGGTAATCCTTTTTCAACTTTATGCTGACTATGACCATCTTTTATACTAAGTTGCGTCATATCTGTTGAATAACTATTAAATTTTTCAAAAATGCAACAGAGCATTGCTGCAGTTTGAACATCTCCATTTGTGGCGAAATGCATAATCAAAGATTCGACAATATAACGCTTGAACGGATCTTTGTAAAAAAGCATTTCATTGTCTGATTCGAAAGGCGAATTTATTGAAGCTATTAATTCTGCTAAATTCCATATTGGAATAAGATCTGACCTTGCGTATCGTTCGGATATTTTCCTGCAAATTATAATCCATTAAAATTATGTATTAAAAAATTTATTGATTAATTACTTATTATGTCGACAAGTTTCCAATATATTTGATTTAGTTATTATATATTCTAGTGCTGCTTTTCGATTAATGTTTAAAATTTTTTGTATATCATAAATGTTTACAACAATATTACAAGAAGATTGTTGCGATTTTTTGCTGTTAGTTTTTGCAGACGATTTTCCACTTAAACGTTCTGGTAAATAAAACGGCGAATTTTTATCAGTACGATGAGGAGCATATAAAATTGGTTGAGTCCCCATAACATTTCCAAGAAAACCACCACTTATCGCACTTAAAGCTCTGGGAGTTACATTCTGTTGTTGGTGCCGTATACTGATTCGCTTGGTAACGATATTCTGCGAGAAGTGAATTAAATATCCTACATTTGTAAACCGAACTCCAGATGTTCTGGGAAAAGGTACACATGCATCATGTAAGGCACCAGTAAGAGCACCTTCGAGCCGAGGAGACTGCAAACGCATAGAGTTCGAAAGCTTTTCAGAGTGGCCAAAAGATTTTTTCAAATTTGTAACTAATGCTCTTAAACATTGCTCCAAACAAGTTCTTAATCTTTTCACCCTTTGCAGAGCAATTGCCTTTAGAGCTTTTGTTGCATTTATAACGTAGCGGTCGTCCAAGGTTGTTCCTTCACAAAATCCAAATTCTGGTATTACATTCGGTTGCGGGTAATCATCTGGAAAATTTACCTTAAAGGAAATAATAACAAGAGTGAATTTCTATAATTAATATCAAAAAAAAAATTACTTTACTTGCAAAATTACAATGTGCTGACTAACAACAATTTTAAAAATAGCATAACGTTTAACAGGATCAAGAGTTTCTACATCTATATGGGGAATATTAGTATTTAATAAAGAAAACTCATGTTGCAAAGAACAAGACGCCAATTGGCTATGGGCTAACGATTTATTCATCATTTGCTGGGGTAAAGGTGATTGTGGAGAAGTTGGCTGCCAATCATAACTTTCAGACAAGTGTTTGGAATATTCAATATTATTTGTAATATCAATTCCTTTACTAATACTTCCTTTAGTACTAGAAGTATCTTTTTCTTCATCCACATCACAATAAATTTGTTGAGATGGTGGCTCACAAAGATCTAATAACTGATCTTCAATTTTCCACAACCTTAGCGTTTGATCTCTAGACCAAGTTATAATTTCCAAATCATTAGAATCTTCGTTTCTATTAGAGCGCCAGGCAAAGTCTAATATAACATCAGTGTGACCAACAAAAGTACAAATTGGATCGCTTTGTCTATAATTACTCCACAGACATAAACTATTCTCCCCACGACCCAAATGTGGCACAACAACTGTTAATAATCCATTGCCAATGGGTGTAAAACGTGCTCTCCAAACTGGTGATGCTGTTGTTATAATTTTTTCTGCGCGTTTTGGATTATTAACGTCAAAATATTTTACAGTTCCATCTTGACTTGCAGTTGTAAAACATGTTTCTTGCTTATAGCTCCAGTTTATGCCTAAAATTAGAAAATTAACAATATATAAATATATATGCTAATACTGTTCACCATGAATTCTCGATAAATGTGCAGTTATGTATTGTATAGGACAAGACCCTTTTCTAATATCCCAAATTCTAAGATCACCGTCATGTGCTGTTGCTAATAAATTTCCTGACACTCTATTAAAACCTACTTGAGTTGCACCTGACATACAAACAGCACTTAATGACAACGTTGGTTTTCTTGGATCACGTAAGTCCCATAAATGTGTGAATGTATCTATAGAACAACTAGCTAACAAATGAGGTTCCCTTGAATGCCAATCTATGTCAGTAACCATTCTGAAATTAAATATATGTATGTACATATTGAATTTGTTTCATTATTTTTCATTATTTTTTCAAATTTTAGAAATAGAAATTTTACCTTGTATGTGCTCGCAATGAATGTATTAATGTCGGATCGCCGGAACTCCATGTTACCACTTCAATTAACTGACTTGTAGCAATTGCGCAATATTCTTTACTATTTTCGCATATTGCCCATTCACATGCTGAAACATCATATTTTGAGTTTCTGTGGTATTTTTGAAGACAACAATCATCATCATTATTATTTTGAAGTCTCTGTAACGCTAAATGTCTTCTACCAGCCAACTGTTAAAGAACCAATATTTTTTACTTATTAGGTGAATTTTGTCAATGATTAGGTGAACAGGTACTTACTAAAACCCATTGACCAGTCCAATCAACAGACATAGCCGTTGCTTGAGAATCCCTATGCTCAAAAGTAGAATAACTATGTCTTACTACGCATGGAGGTATCTCCTTTGTTGATTTTTCTAAGGACATCTTGTTTAAAAATTTAAAACTCCATAAAAATATTTATTAACAAGAAAAATTTGTAAAATTCAAAAAGTTGTATTTGATAACAAAAACCAGCTGATTCATGAATATATTAACATATGTTCAATTGATAACGGAGAACTGTCGATACTATTGATAGTCTCAAAATCGATATAACACTATCGTTAAAAAACCATTTAGTATTTAAAATATTATTCAAAATTTTTTTAAATGTAAAAGTTGGAAATCTATGAAATTTTACAAACTCCATTACAATATTTTATACTATTATAGTATGCATATTTTGTTTATAGTATGCATTATTTATATTGTGTGTTTTTCGCTTTAGTTAACAAAATTTGAATGTTGTGAATATTTTTCACAGCCAAGAGATTGATTTATGTTTGTCTATTGGGAAAAAAGTACATACTTTTGAAATTTGTACACATTATTACTCGTATCTGTGTTTTGATTTGAGTATCGACATTTTTCGCCACAAAAGAGTTAATTATTCGATTAACAAAAAACGATATGTGTAAACGTCAAAAATCCGGGCAAGACCAAGAATTCTAATTTGTAAATAAAATAGAAACATTCACACCACACAGCACGTACATATATTTTTCTATTTTGTACAAACAAAATTAAAAAATTGCAATGAATTTTATTAACTTCGAGAGTTTACGCGACAAAGAAGTGGTTAGACAAGAGTTGCGAGAAGCAAGAAATGAACTTTTACGTAGAGTAAGTAATTTCTTTATATTTACTGTTAAGAACTATGTATAAGTTGTCGCATTATTTCCCAATTTTAGGCTGAAAAAGAAGCTGAGAAAAGAGCAGAAAGAAATGCAAATAAAGAACTTCGTGGCGATAATAAATGGATTTTACCATCAATATCAAAGAAATTAAAAAAAAGCTCTAAATCAGCGAAAAAAAAGAAAAAGAAGGAGTCCAAAAAACAAAGCAAGAAGTCGAAAAAAAAATCCAAACACCATAGTTCATCTGACAGCGAGAGTAGCTCAGATTCTGAAAGTGATGAAACCGAAAGAAGAGAAAAGAAAAGAAAGAAAAAGAAAAAACGTGAAAAGCAAAGTTCTAGTCCCAGCAATACTTCCACGAGCGATTCAGATGAATGGGTTGAAAAAAAAGTTGAAGAACCCAATTCATCAAAAACCAATAACAGCATACCATTAATTAGAGATGAATGGATGACAAGTGGTGATTTGTTCATGAAAACATATATAAAAGAAAAAAAAGAAGTAAAAAAGAAGTCTATTGATGAGTATAATCCGGCAACAAGCTCAAGAGAGTTAAATCCACATTGGAAAAATGATGGTGATGGGTTACCTGCGTTCCAAAAACCATCGGACGAAGACTTCATGTTTAAAAAGGAAGAGAATAAATATAAAAGTGGTTGTTTCGCTACAGGTGGTTGGAAGAAAGGTGATCGCTCCAACACTCAAATATCAAGACGTGATCAAACATATTTTAATTCTACAGAAAAGCAGATTAAAGAAAGATCAACAGCAACGGGTTACTATGATAAACGAGAAAATAGTGAAACATCAAAAGCACGTGGACAAGCTCGTATAAGCTCTACAGACAGAAGAATTAAGGAAAAATCTAAATCCTCAAGTGAAGCAGATGACGGTGATAATTGTGAAAGTAATGATGAAGATCAAAATTTTTTAACAGATCAGCAGATGAATGAAATTGCAGCCAAAATAATAAAAGCTGAAATTATGGGGAATAATGAGCAAGTACAAAATTTAAAAGAAAAACTTGAAAAAGCCCACCAAATAAGAGCCAAAATAAAGAACACTTGCAAAAAAGATGAACTCAACTTTAAAAAGAGGAAACAAAACGGAGATGAACATATTTTGTTGACTGTTACAGATAACCAAGGAAATGTCCGACCATTCCAGGGTTCAACGAAAGAAATTGATGAACGAAATTCAAAAAATAAACACAAGAAAAAAATTGAAACACATGCCGGTGGTAAGAGGATTCGCTACTTTCCTGATGACGAACGTTATGATATAAATCAAATGGTACAAATTCTTATTTTAATTGCACTTAGTTTTATATACATAGTTACTTTTTTTTAGTTCACAAGAGAAAGAGAAATCAAGGGTGTTGATTCTGACTTACAATTTGTTGAAATCGCTGGAAAATCTAAAAATCCAAATGACGATTTGGATGATATTTTTGCTGATTCAATCAGAATGACTTCGAAAGATGAAGCCAAAAAACAAAAAGAGCAAGCCATACAAGAAGCAGAAAGATTGCAAAAAATTCTTGATGATTGTGATAAATGCTTTAACACACCTAAGATGCAACAAAATTTAATGGTTTCTATGGGTACGTCTGTATATCTATCACTGCCTTGGCATGAAGGTTTACAACCGGGTCATTGTTTAATAATACCAATGCAACATACAACATGTTCAACACGACTTGACGAGGACGTTTGGAATGAGGTTACAGAATACAGAAAAGCTCTAACACGTATGTTTGAAAAACAAAATAAGGACGTTATATTTTTCGAAATGGCACGATATTTAAATCGAAGTCCCCATATGGTTATTCATTGCATACCCTGTACAAATGAAATGGCGCCTTTCTTTTTTAAGAAAGCTATACAAGAATCCGAACAAGAATGGTCTACGAATAAACAATTAATTTCATTAAAAGACAAGGATTTAAGGAGATCTATACCCAAAGGTTTACCATATTTTTGGGTCAATTTCGGTACAAGCTCTGGTTTTGCTCATGTAATAGAAGACCAAAGTCGATTTCCGGAAAATTACGCTCAAGAAATTATAGGAAATATGCTACAATTAGACCCAAGAGTTTGGAGAAAACCCAGAAAAGAGCATAATTTTATTCAAAAAGTTAAACAATTTGCAGATTGGTTCAAACCATACGATTTTACAAACAAAAGATAGTTTAAAAAGAGATTTAATTAAAAATTGGTAAATTAATATGGATTTAAGAAAGTTATCTTATGCGGTATAAATTGACCATGTCGACGTTTTCATGAAGTAAAGGATATGTGAAAATTTAAATATGATTATGTGTATATTTATGTCATTCTTAGATAATTAACAATCAAAATAATAAAGAAAAGCCATAATTTACAAACAAATATTCATTACCTTTATTTTTCAAAATTGCACTACGAAATTTTTTTTTAATAACTCAACATATGAACAAAATATTTGAAACAATGAGTATAGTTTTGGATGAAATATTTATATAATGAAAAAACAACACTATAAAATGATACTAGAGAGGCAAACTTTAAATCAAGATGAATAAGATAATATTTAGTAACTTTGAGTTTGTATATTTAAATAAAATATATACATATTTTCAAAACAAAATTTTTAAAAATTTTTGGCTAAAGCATCTTCTAACAACAATAATGAGCATAAAAATTTACAAAAATATATTTTGTTCGCTAAAAGAATATATATTTTAACAAATTGTGCAATCCATTTCACCATGTTTAGGAACACAATCTAACACGAGAGCAACAGCGCGAGCCATATAAGTCATTGTTCCATAGCTGCCACTTGGAGCACTAAAAACAATTTTTCCAGTTGGATTTCAAATATAAGAAACAATTTTTTTTTCAAATTTTTACCTATCGTAAAGATGTTGACAAATATAAGCAGCTCCTCCACATAAAAGCATTCCAGATGATGTAGTGTCTTTACCATCATTTTTTGCACAACATAATTTAGCGTCACCATTACATTTACGTTGATCTTCAAGGAATAACTGATTAGCTCTATGAACTAAATGCTCAACACATATTATTCCTCCAAGCGAAGGTACCATGTTATGTTCTGTAACTAATGTCAAAACCATTAAAGCCTCCACTACTAATTGCCTATATTCTGGTTGCGGAATTTGATTTAATGCTGTTTCAACTTCCAAAGCAAACTTTAATTCACCAGGTGTCATTTCTTGAGTTAAACTTTGCGGTAATATACGACCTTCAATTTTTAAACCTTGACACTAAATTAATAAAAAGCAAAAATAAAAAATTAATTAATAAATAGTTTTGTAATTAATTAATATAATATATCAATTACCCTTTCGAGAACAGTCCAAACTCTTGAGTAAAAATCTCTAGGGACACGATTCAAAGCACCATCCAATCGACGACGACGTAACCATTGACCTTGTCTTTCATCAACAGTACCAATTTCTTCATTAATATCAATTTCATTGAGTCCAATTTGACTCTTCTTACTTACGCGACTTGATTTACAACTGATGATAGAAAGATTACCACGTGCAACTTAAAAAAAAATTTAATAAATCAAAAATACTATAATAATTTAGTATCTTTTTTTTTTTTGCATACCACTGCTAATTTGAAACTCTTTTCCACTCAATATATGATACAAAAGATTTTTCATTTCAAATGGTGACAAATTTAATAAATGTTCTGATGCTTGTTCACCATCAACATTTAAAGTTCTTGATAATTCTTTAGCCATAACTTGTATAATTAAACCAACTCGTAAACGCAACATTTCATGAAATAATTGTGGTTCTGTGCGTATAAACATTGCTAGGTATACCATTAATTCTTGTGTTAACATAGCTGTACTCTCATCATCACCATACGCCTAACATTGAAATATACAAAAATATTTTAAAAATTCAAAAAGTTCACATTTTGTATGACTAAGATAAACTTTTTATCAATCGTGAAAAAAAAAATAAAACCATTTACATGATGTATCATTTGTCTTAATTCAGCCTCAGGTAATGGTGCAGTAATAGTAAATTCATTATTCGGTGGCATACCAATTGTAACCTAAAATATTAGAAAAGAAAATTAATTAGAATACTTATTCGAATTTTTTTTGAAGTGTCAATTGTTTTTACCTGTTTTTGTCTTACTAACAAATCAGTAACAGCTTTTGCTAAATCTTCAACTCTTTTACCCAACATACCAGCTGTGTGTCGTACTAAACCCCATAATTTTTGTTGACATGCTTTTTCATATAAACCTTTTAGAAGGGCACGTACGGTTACAACACGACCTTCTTCGAGCATTCCTTCATTTTGTTGAGAAGAATTATCAGTATTTTCATCATTTTCGTCATCATTTGTAGTCGACGCTAAGTCTTATTTTGTTTTTTTTTTTTTTGATGTTTTTTTTTTGTGTTTTAGTTATTGTTAGTTTTTGAGTTAAAGTATGATTTGTGCAAAATATTATTTTCATCAGCAGGCAATTCAACAATTCAATATTTACGCATATTAAAGCAACAATTCCAAACGAAAATTCCAAATTTTCGTTGTTTATACGATTATTAATTTTTTTTTTGCATCCCAGAAATTTTAGTAATTATAAATGCGTTGTTAAGCAATTTTAGTATAATATTTTATCGTGAAGTGAAGAAATTATTCAATTCAAATGAATATTTAAAAAGATTATAAAATAAAAAATAAATTATTAAAAAGTATATTTATTAATATTGTTATTTTTATTTTTCTTAAAAAAAAACTGGTTTGAATTATTTTAATTTTGAAAATATCAAATAAAACTATCGACTAATTGCTATATTCCAATTATTTTTTAAATTTTTATTTTAAGTTTTATTTTATATTATAAATAATAAAAAATCAACAAAAATTAACAATTTTACTTAAATGAGGTAGAATTGTTCTAATTTAAATAAGTTAACAAAAATTATCCTAAGAATTCCAAAATATTTTTTTCCAAAATTTAAAAACGTTTCAGTTAAGATCATAACCCTTAAAATGGAAAATTCAAAAATTCAAATTCTGGCATACCAACAAAAACAATCTGGCTCAAAAATCCAGAAATTTTTATCATTTAGGCCAAGAATGTAGTTTATCAAAAATTAGAAATAAAATTTGAAAAATGGAAAAAACTAAAATAGGTGCGTGAAAGAAAAAACACAAAAAAATATGAAAACCAAAACTTATTTCAAAGTATATCGATTTAGAAAAGAAGAAAATTTTCAGTAAAAAACAATTATTATAGAATTCCGATTCTGGATATTGTGTACAAATTTAGTTTTATACAACCTTTTAAAAATTACAATATACACACATAATTTTTTTTTATTGTGTTGAAAATTTTTCTGTTGATAAATGTTCATCAAAAATTACAGATTTATGAATTAGCAAAATCAATTTTAATTCAAAATTAAATTTAAATTCCAAATAAAAAAAATTCATAAAAATGGACGAATACGTACATATTTATTATGTACGTTTATTTATGTAGGTATATTTATGTAAAATTAATTGATTTTGTATTTTAACAAACTTACCAGGTTTATTTCTAATCCCTAATCCAGCTGATGTTATATTAAAATATTGTATACAATAAATTATTATTATTTTTTTGAAAATATTAATTAACATTTTTATTATTATAATTAAGAAAATAATTCTTATATAAAAATGAGAACACCAATTGAATATTGCAAAGCAAAATGCTTAATAAAAATAATGTATATTTTAAAAAATGAATATCTCTAATAATAATTTAATCGGCAATACCAAATTTTAAAATAGACGTGAAAATTTATTTATAATTTCGTTTTAAAAAAACACCCTTTTAGAAATTAAAACAAAATATGTGTGATTTATGTATAATAAAATGTAGCATTCAAATAAATGAATAAATTTTGTTCAACAAAATAATTGAAATAAGAAATTTTAATTAAGATCCCAACACCATCTTCTTTTTTTTTCCAATATTTTATAATATAAAAGATATAAAGCTGCTGCATAAGAACAAGTAATTAAAAAATTACAAATAAGACAAATTACAATTTATAAATTAAACATATATGGAATACTTCGCATAATCTATATTTAGAAAAATACAGATTATTAATAATTTAAATTTTAATAAAATTTTAATTTTTTTTTTTCATAACAACCATAAATATTAAAATTATTCTAAATTTAATTGATGCGATCTTAAATTTATTAATGTTATTATTATCTAAAATATTTTAATAGCATCCAAAATATTATTCTAAATAATGACTGTTTTAAAAAAAAAAAATTCCGTCTTAATAATTGTTTTATAAAATCAATATAAAAAAAAAATTAAAATTTTTTTTATAACCATGAAGTTTATTTAAGTACAATATTAAAAAAGTATAGCAATCCTAACATTCTTGTTTTATGCAATATCTAGTTGCACATATAAATTAGCATTCAAGTCGAAATTTCAAAATTGAGAAGCAAAAACTATTTTCCCCAAAATGCAAATTTACCTTAACCTAATAGAAATACATACAATAGCCTTAAACCTTAATCTTAGAATTACTAATAAATATTATATTAAATAATAATTAAGCTAATGAGTATATGAAATGATTATCTAATAATGAATGCGCTCAAGCAAATTTTTTAAATGTTTTAATTTTGAAAGAATGAATTTCTTTTTTCAAATAATAATTTTTCATCAATTTTATATTATAAAAAATTTTAAATAACCATATATATATGTATATTTTTTTTTAATTACCTGTATTAAAATCGAGACCTTGTGTATCAACCAAATATTGTAAAATATCACCTTGTTCTTCAAGATTTTCGGTTTCACGTAACATTGCAATCAATTCTTCAACTTCTGTATCAGCAAAATTAGTTTCAATGCGGTGACGTTGTATTAATATTTTTGGAACTTTTTTTTTTTAATAATTAAATATAAAAAAATATTTACACATTCCAAAAAAAAAAAATTACCAAAAAATTAAATAAATAACAATACAAACCAATATAACAAATCAACGGTCAATGAAAATATATGCATAATCATAAAAAAAAAATTTAAAATTAAAAATAAAAAAAAAATATATTATATAAATACATATGAATTAAAATTTTTTTTTTATAAATTTTCTAATAAAACTTAAAAGTAAAGAAATGAAAATTAAAAATACTAAATGGAAATTATTAATAAAATATGCTATGAATTTTATAAATATGAAAGGTAGTGTTCTATGAAGTAGAAAAACAAGTTTTGTATATAGAAGTAAGTATATATGTATATAACTAATTTTTAAATAATCTAAAAATAAATTATTTGATTGGAAATTTCATCCATCAAATTCATATTTACATAAGTAATATTTTACAAATCTAAAAAACTTAATAGAAAATAATAACTTGGAAGGGAATAGATGTTTTCTAATAGTTTTGAAAATCTTTCACAATGCTATTAAAATTTTATTGCCTTTAATAGTTAATAAATCATTAACATATTGTTATGTTTCAATTAAAAATTGATCAAGACATGGAAATTAGGGTCATAAAAATTCTAATTCTTACTACCAAATTCATTATAATGTTAATGAAACTGTATATAATAAAATATACATTGCCATACGAGGCACAAAATGTATTAAAAAAATGCTTTATGAGTTTTAAATAATTTACAGAAATAAAAAAGAATAGGTAATAAAATGTATAATAAAACTATAAATTTAACTTTAAGCTATAATATCCAATTCAAAACTAAAAAAAAGAATCTAAATATTTTAATTTATAATTTTAAATATCAAATTGTTTACTTTGAGAATAACTTACTTTCCAATTGCGTTTTATTTGCATTATTTGTAATATTTGACACAATATGAGATGGTGAAAGAGTTTCACCTTCATCAGTAGATGATGGGGTTTCTTCTTCTGGTGTAGTTGCAAATGTGTTTGGTATTGTTAGTTTAGGTTGTAACCATGGCGGTGGGATAACTGATGATAAACGTCTTTCCATTAATGGTGTAGGACCTTCCATACCCAATGTTTCAGCTTTTAGATATAAAATAAATAAAATTCATAAATAATAAATTGATTTCTTTTTTGTGCAACTTACAATCAACATTAATTGATCTTGTTTTTTTAATAGCGCCTTTACATGACATTCGGCGTCGCAATTGTCTAGGACGTAATGCTGATGTTCGTACATTTACAGCTGATTTATTACTAAATGAACGTAATAAATGTTCATCTAAGTATTTTTGTACATCTGAATTTAAACGATCTGGATATCTAAAATTAATAAAATATTTAATTAGTTATTTTTTTTTTTTTTGTAAATATACTAAATTATTAATTTTTTAAATTGATTACTCAATTAAAATTTAATATAATTTATATTACATTTAATACTTACCCTTCTTCTTGGCTTCCTAAGAAACTTAAATCCGTAATAGCAGATGTATTTAAGAAATCACCAAGATTTCCTAACATAACTCGAGTACCATTAATATAACCAGATTTTAGTTTACGCATTGTTTGAATCATTGCTAATGGAATTTTATTGTCATCTGCATTTAATTTGTATTTTTTTTTTTTTGAATTTGAAGAATGTAAGATAAAAATAAAAATTTTATATTAGAAAAATAATGATTATAGAAAAATTTATGATTAAGGAATTAAGTATTTTTAGTTAGTTATCTAATTATTGCACATGACCAAAATTTAATCAAATAAAAATAAATTAATTAAATAAAATAATTACAAATAAGAATAACAAACGGAAACAAAAACAAGTTAAATAAAATATTATTTAAATTATAATGAAAATGCATTAAACAATTAATTAATATAAAAAACAAATAGTGACAAATTGTTAGTTAACATAAAATTAAGTTCTCCATTTAAATATAAATATTTTTAATATTATTTGTTAAATTTAATTACATTCGAAACACATATAAAAAATTATATGGAAAGACTTAATTTATATTATTTTCAAAAGTTCAATATTATTTTATTTAAACATTTTAAAATTATTTTATTCCAAAATGGTTTTTAACTTTTATTTTGCATTTTGCAATTATAATCAATATTGATTACAAAATTTTAAAAACTTAAGTTAGATCATCTTTACTAATAAGTAGTGAATTACCAAACGGAGTACTTCCAAAAACTAAAATTATTTAATTATTAATTTTAAGAAATATCATTTTATTTTCAAATAATAAACTTTATCTCTTAAGTTTTTTAATAATTATTTAACATTAAATTATTTTCCTGTTTTTCCAAAAATAAAAAATGAAAAGAATTTTTTTAATTCTTTACTCAAAAGCTGGAAACTACAGGATTATTGTTAGTTTTTAATGAAGACATTAATATGTACACATTTTACAAATTTTTCAATATATTATGTATAAGATCGAAACATTGAATGAAAAACAATAAATCATAAACAATAAATTAGAAAATGATTGTAAAATTCGCTAGAAAAAGAAAACAAAAGCAAAATTGAATGAGTTTTTTCCAATTATAATAATTAATTTAATAAACTATCTCCCTCGTAGCGTCAAACGTTACAATAACAACGAAATACAAAACGAAATTATATTGTAATTACCCAAGATTATAAAATTTTATTAATTTTCAAACTATAAATAATAATATAATATTTTACATTATATTAATTTTTATTTATAAATTATATTAAAATAAGTTCATTAATTAAAACAAAATTTTCAACAAATATTTTCAATTTAACATTTTTGTATATTAATCTGCAGCAAGAATTCTTCTGCAAGATCTGCAAGGAATTCGAATTTGAAAAAACAAAAAAAAAATTTTAAAAATCCATGTTTTTTAAATTAAAATTGTTATTCAAAGTATTATAAATATAAATGGTGTGTTGAAGATAAATAATAAATAGATGGTGTGCTCGATAAATGGTTAAAAAGATAATACAAATCTTTGCAAATGTTTTATGTATTAAAAAATAGGCATCAATATTAGAATTATTCACCCATATTCTGTTAGATGGGTTGTTATTCCCATCTTACTTAAGATTAAAATTTTCTGAATAAAATCAATTCCGAAATTCGAAATTCTATATTGAAAAACAAAATTCTTTTTAAAAATATCCCATCAACCCAAGTCAAGTGACTAACAGAATATGAGTGATTATATTGGAAGCAAATTATATTGGAAGCAAATATTCAAAATCAATTTTAAATATAATTCAAAAAAAAAATTGAGATTTACAATATGAAATTGAAAATTTCGAATTAGAATTCATTCAAAAAGCTACAAAATTTTTCAATAATATTCCAATAATTTTTCAAGTCTTAGGGAACATTGGTGAAGTGCATTAGGTGTTTTGTGATTCGATATTGTGATAATATACCAAACGGACTACTTTTTTAAAAAATTTTACATACACTTTTATTCATAATATTTGCTGAAAATTTATTTAATAAAAATTAAATAATTAAGAAAAATTTAACGAAAAAGAAAAATAGACAAAAAAAAAAATAGTAGAACCCAGAAAAAAAAATTAATTGAAATGCCAATCAACAAAAAAATAAAAGAAAAATAAGAAAATTATTTAGTTTCATAGATTATAGAAAAAAGTTTACCAAATTTACCTAATAGATAATGGGTTGCCATTAGGGTTATTGTTGGCCGTCCTAACATGTGACGCCAATTATTTGTTAGGAAGGCCATGTTCATTGTAAAATTGCTTGCTAATAAATCTGGATCACGAGTAGTATAATACTCTTCAAAGTCGAAATTCTAATATTTTATTAATTAAAAAAAAAAATTTGTTTGGTTTTTCTTTTTGATTTTTTGGGTTACTCTCGCAGATATACTTTTAACATTGAAATACATTTGGATACTATATACATATATACATACATATTTTATAAATTACAATTATACAATGTTTACAAAAAAAAACTTAAACAAAATGAAGTTACATGAAAAAATAAATTAAAAGCAATTAAAATAGGAAAAAAAAACAATACATAAATTTAATATTGGATGTGTAAACACATAAATAGCAACAATATACAAATATGTATATAATAATTGGAATATATGTATTAGGAATTTTGATTTAAACAGCAAATAGGTATAATTTTATTGAATAAAATCAATTTAACTAACTGCTATATACATATAATTCAGACTCATTTATTTACTTATTTAATTTTGCTTAAAAAAAAAAATTCTTTGCAAATTAAAAATTTACAAGTAAAACATTGAGAGACAACATTGAGAAACTATTGTAATTGAAATTTACAATAGTTTTCTTTAAATGATTCTATTATACGGTAATAATTAATTAGATTACAGCACGGCTATGAATCGTATATGTATAATAATTTGGTAAAATTGATTTTATACAGAAGAATGTAAAAATTTGATAAAGAAAAGAGGCTACTACATTTAAACAAAAAAAAAGGAAACAAAATGGATTCATGAATTTTTTGAATAGAAAATTATAACAAGTTCAAAATCATAGAATATAATAGTTAAAATAAAATCAAAATAAATCTACAATATTTATATAAAAGTCTCTAAATTTTACTTATTCAAACAGTCGGATATAATACGAAGTCCTACATATACTTAGTTCAACAAAAATTACAAATATTGAGTTTTCAATATTCATTTTGTATTAATAACTCGAAAATTCTATTTACCTATATCTTAGAGTAGATACCATTTCAAATAGATATGAGGAAATCAAATAGATATGAGGAAACTGTCTTAGGACTTAAATTTTATTTTAATAGCATATTATTAAAGTACATACTTTACTTAAGGTTTTATAAAAACCCATAATAAAGAAAACCGTATAAAAAAATTTTGATAATAAAAAGTAGGTACCAGAACTTTGGCATCTTAGAATGTACAATCGTGAAATTCTTTTGAAAATATGTTTATTATTTTAAAAATAGTTTTTTTTCTTTAATCTATTATAATAAGGAAAACGATTTCCTATTTTTATAAATAAGTTCATTATATATATATATATATATATATATATATATATATATTTAAATATATATGTATATATATATTAATTTGATGAAAATTTTCAAGGTCAAATGTTATGAAAATAATACAATCCAAAAATAAATAAAACTAATTTATCTAATTAACATCTAAATTTTTACAATGTGCTAAAGATTTAAAGCTTAAAATTATAAGGTTGAAAAGTACAATATTTTTTTTTAATTGAAAGCGAAAAGATTTAAAAAATGTTATAAAATAATGCGAAAATTTTATAAACCAGAAATATGAGCTGGTAATTTCAATTGATAAAGATGAAATAGAGACTTTTATATAAAAAAAAATTCTAAATTTTTACTATAATTTAATAACCATCACCTATAGTTATACAATAGATCACTTAAATTATTTTTTACAAATAGACTGTGAAATATGTAGAGTGCATTTAGAATTTTAATAGCTATAGAAATCTATTTTGGATTTTTAAAAATTTCTATTTCTACATAATTTCCGCCAATTTATTAATTTATACATTCCATCACCAAATATGTACTGTTATATTATATAAATTTTTAATACACTAAATTTTGAATATAAAGCTTAATTTAATTTTTCAAATAATGAAATAATTTCATTGTAATTGTGTTATTGTGTTGTAATGTATCCAAAAAAAAATGTTATATGTATTATAATTATAAATATTGGAAATAATTAAGGAAAAAAAATTTAATATGTATAATTTACCTTAAAAACAAATTTAATGAAAATTATACATAACAAATAAAATTTTCTTTAAAAATCGGAATTGAATTTATGTAATTCTTTAATTTTTGAAAATATTGCGTGTAAAATATATAGTAACTTACTAACATGTGTGAAAATACATAATATGTAAGACGGAAAATTTTAATTGATAAAACAATAATGTTTATAATGAATCATTGACTACAATAAGCAAGTTATACTCTTAAATATACAAGAAAATCTTGCATTTATTTTATTTAATAATAGCTTCCTAAAATTCCTTTTTATTTTGTTACAGCAACTTAAGTAACTGTAGTTAAAGATTTCCAATTTTGATCATAATATCTTCTTATGCTGTAATGTTATACAATTCACCGAGTTAAACATCAATATGTACAAAAAATATGATACAAAAATTTTCATGTTTAGTCGCCAAATAGATTTTAAATGCTGCTCTAACTTAAAACAATTAAATAAAAGTACTCTTTATGCATAATTACATATTTAATATCGGCCCTTTATAGGTTCTAATTTGAAATAAATCTTAGAGCAAAACAATAGCCTGAAACTTTTAAAATTAATCTACATATATACTTGTAAAACAACACAATAACGCTAAAATTGGAACAGAGTAAAAAATAATTTAAAAAAAATAGATCATTAAAAGTTAATAAATTGCTAATTAATGAAAGATTTCCATAGGAAAGTAAAATTGGGGTGGATCAGAAATTAAAACAATGTTATATCTGTCTATATAAACTTTAAATAAAAAATCATTATTTATGAAAAATTGTGTCTTTTAATTATACTTTTCAGTGTAAACTCAAAATTTAGCAATATTATTAGAAACAAATTAGCACAGTGGGGAACATAAGAGGGAAAATCATAATATAAATTAACATTTTATAAAAACAAAAAAATATAAAGTGAACACCGACCTAAATGAAAATTTTTCAAAACCAAAGTGACCAAAGGTCGGCCGAGTAAATTCTGCCAAGCTGATTTTAAAAAATTAATTTCACCTTTCAATATATCAATCAATAATTCACTGTCTGATGCGATGTAAAAACGTGTTAAATCGACGAACTAATAAACAAACATATACAAAAAAAAATTAATAGATTTAACTAATTTAAACGAATTACAACAAATATGACAAAATAAAAAGAAAAAGTAAACTAGAAAAGAAAAAAGTACCATATGTGTATAGTACAGTATACAATAAAAAAAAAGAAAAAAATTAAAAAATAATGCAAAATTTTTTCATGAAACTTCTAATTAAATTTATAAGTTTTTATTAAAAATTACCTGAGGTGTGAATGCAAAAATTCTATCTTTTAGAGAATATAATTTACTTGTACTAAGTATACCAACATCACGCGATTTTCTACCAGTTAAGCCCAATTTTCTATTTCGACCTAAATACGTATATAAATGGCTCAAAACTCGAGCTGGTTGAACCTCAATTGGGGCAACATCTGCAATTGTTTGTACTTGCAGATCATGCTCTGCCAATTTATCTCGAATTTCGTTATCTTCGGCAATGATTACAACCTGAACAACAACATCCGGTTTTTTTTGCGCTCCTAAACGTCTATTGAGTGGATCCAATTCTCCAACTGCCAGAAAACCCTATATTGAACAAAGAAATTCAATTTATTAATGCTACATTAAAAAAACTTATTAAATGAAATATACTTCTTGAAGTAATTTTCCTAGAATATATAAAGATTGTCCCCATAAAAATGGACATCTTCCTACAACTTCTCTTTCCTGTGAACCAGGTTTAGAATATTCAGCAGAAACATTATCATGTTTAACAGCATAGCTTTCAGGAACTAACGAAATGTTATCTCCTCCTCGAACAAGAATAGTCTACATATTAAAAACTAATTAGATTATTCTATTGATTTTTTTTTAAATCACCTCAAGCTTATCCGCGTAATCCTTAACAGCATTTTTATCATTTTGAAACAAATTAAATAAGACTAAATACGCAAAAAACAATGGCCATTCGCATTCTATATTTTCAAACATTCGTAACTCCCAACGTTCATAATATAATCTTGATGGATCTTCTTTCGGTGTTCGATAACCATCCCTTAGGAATCTTTTACAGCCATATTTTCCCTCAAGGCGATTAACAATTGCATCTTTAGTATCTTTAATCAAATGCGGATCATCAACAGCAAAGGCTGGGAAACCAATAACCGAGAGAAGACCAGAATCTAATTCCTTACTGTTTGATTCTCTTGGCAACATTGATTGTAAGACGGCTTGACATTTATGTGCCTCATCAGCTAAAACATGTATAACACTAGCGGGTCCTCCGCGGGCTCCAAACAAATCTAATTCATTCATTGCTTCTAATGCAGCTTTGGCCATGCCAATTGAACTAGCATTTAATTCAGGTTCTCCATGGTTCGTTTTGTCTCCTCGCTCCCATATACCATAATCGGGAATACAATAAGCTGATTCTATATAAAACACTAAGTTTTGAACAAAAGAAACTTCATCTAATGTAAAGATAATTTGAAGTCCTGATGCCGTCATTTGGGCTAAAATCAATAAATACAAAGATATGGCGTCAATTTGTAAATGACCCCATTCATGATCTCCAACTACAGTTAATCCATTCTTGCAAGAAAATTTTGCATGTAAGGAATCTAAAGGGTTTTGTGTTGTCTTAAATTTTTCAACTTTTTCCTTTTGATTTAGCATGGCCATAAGAAGGCCCCTCATCATTTTAACACAACTTTGCTCCAATTCATAGCATTTAGCTCGATCTTCATCTTGATCAGCTATTTTCTTATAGGCCATTGATAAGCCCCATACAGCTAAAATACAGTAAACGTTATCACGAATCCATGCATGCTGATTAGTAGGACTTGCTGGAAACAACCCTGTGACAGGCTCCTGGTGAGCCATTATCAGACGTTGAACAATTCTTTGATAATAGTCCAAACGAACACCAGAATTACTACGACTCCTCATTTTTAGAATATAATTTTCCTTAAATTATTGAGTTTCTTAACAATATACGTAATTATATGACTATATCCTCAGATAAGTATAACAACTATAAATTGTTTATATTCACTCTACAGCTGAAAAAATTTTTTTAAATAACACATTTTTACTTTAAATTAATAAAAACTTGAGGATTCATTTTTTTAATTCCAAATATATTAAAAAAAAATGTAAAATATTTTCTAAAGAAGAGTTTTTATTAGAACAAAATTGACAAATTTGACATTCAAATTTTATATAATGATTAGTGATGGGTCATAATATAAATTAGCATCGAGGTATTCCTTTATTAAATTTTATAGAAAATCTCGGTACTTAGACATCAACCTTAGTCTGTGGATATTGTTTGATCTAATGGGTGAAAGTTTGAACTGTAAACATTCCTAAACATTATTTGATATGAGATAACTTAACTTTAATTGCATTAACTTTTTCATTTAAAATTTTCAGAATTTGAATTTCAATCAATTATATTATACATAGTATAGGTATTTGTATTTTAAGTTTTTAAAAGATAATAAATATTTTTAATGGAAGTTCAACAATATAAACAAATTTAAATCATAATTAGTTCTCACTCGATATCAAAATAAAAAGTTGTTTTTGTTAAATTAAAATCTTCTCTCTCATGAAAACTTTTGAAAAAAAAAAAATTAATTTGTTTTGCTATCGAGGAAATTTTTTAAAAATAATAGTGGCAACGCTGAAAATATTTATATTATGTTTTTATAAAAAGATGTCAGATGTGCCAATGAAACACGGTTGACAGATGTTTTTGTTATGTCAAGGTATGAAACAATAAAATTAATATTACAGCTTTGTTTTCTGTGGCTAAAAATAAACAAAATTTTGTAAACAATTCAGTGAAATTTTTAATATAGTACGACATTTATAATATCTATATATAAGTAGTGCATTAACATGCATTGAATTGCAAACCGTCCAGCTTTCAGAGAAATACTTAAAACTCTTACTAAAAAAATAGATTTTATATTATGGATGATTTGGCTCAAACATGTCGAACGTGTCTAAATAAAGAGCAAAAACTTTTAGCAATTAGTTCACTAATTGAGTCAAATTGCAGTATTAAAGATTATTTCGAGAAGTATTTACAGATAAACATGTCTGAAAATGATGATTTACCTTCGAATGTGTGCTTAAAGTGCTTAAATAAATTACTGGACGTAAGAAAATTTTTTATACAATGTCAGGACTCTGAAAATTATTTAAAATTAAAATTACAAATTCCTCCAAAAAATGCATGTGCTAAATTTACAACTTGTGATAACGTTGAAACAGAAGTCAAAAAAGGGTTTGAAAAGTTAAGTAAAAACCCTGATAAAGTTGGTATATTAAATTTTGAAAATAAATTTTTGGATAACGGAAATGACCTTACAACACTGAAAAAAAGTGATTTGAATGAAGAATATTTAGAAATAGAAGAATTGAAAAATGATGATAAGTTTCAAGGTATGTACAATCTTTAGCTAAAATTCAAAAATAAGTCAAATGGTTATATTATCACTTTTATCAACAGATCAATCAAAATTTAATGATATTGAAAATGAAACTTCAGAAAGTTATTCTTCCTCAGACGATTTTGTACACTATGAAATACTTGAAGAATATACACGAGATCCAAAAATCAGTCAAAGTGGTTTTAAAACCCAAATGTTCAAATGTAGCGATTGTCAAGAAACTTTTGGTAAGAATTGATAAACAAAAGCATTAATAATAACTAATTATTACTTTCAGAATTTTTCAAAAATCTGCAGCACCATATAAGGCTTTGCCATGACATAAAATTTTTGAATACAGCTCGTATTACAGAAATAGATCACGTATTATATGAAAGTACAAAACGCTTTAATAAAACCGCTTTAAAATGCAAATACTGTCAAAAGAAATTTGGTAAAATTTTCAAATTGAAATGGAAAAATTTGATTGTTTTTTTTTTGACAGCTTTTAGAACAAATTATAATATCCATTTGAGAAGGCATCTCCAAAGTAAAAAGCAATTAAATGAAAGTTGCGTTTGTTCAATATGTGGTAAAAGTTTTGAAGACAAACGAAAACTACAGAAGCACACTTATAGGCATAATAATAAAAATAATAAAGTTTCTTGTCCAATTTGCAGTAAATCATTTATATCAGTTGTTAAAAAACTCTTTGAATTTCAAAATAACTTTTAGGTAAAACTTTTAGAGCTAGATACCATCTTAACATTCATATGAATCAGCACACTGGTGCAAAACCGTTTCCTTGTAACATTTGCAAAAAAAAATTTGTTTCACCTTCTAGTTTAAGATTACATAAGACTCTACATGAAGGTAAAAAGATTCAATGTCCTATGTGTGATACCAAATTAGCTGCACGAACTCAGTTAAAATTACATATGAGGATGCATACCAACGAACGGTAATTTTATACTATTTTATTTTTTAAAGTTCAAAAGTTTTATCCTTCAACTTAAAATAGGCCATACGCATGCACACAATGTCCTAAAAAATATAAACAATTATGTGCATTAAAAGTTCATCTTGCAACACACTCTGGTATTAAATCCGTACAATGTGAAGAATGTTCAGCTTGCTTTTATACCAAAAATCATTTATTATCGCATAAAATTAAAATTCACAGACCTAAAAGATTTCATTGCAACATATGCCCAAGGCAATGTCCAACTCCTTTTCTGTAAGTACTAAGTGTGATAATTAAAGTATATTTTAATGATACAATAAATTTATAATGAATAAATATTTTTTTATAGCATGAAAAGTCATTTATCATCAGTTCACAAAATATACCCAAAAGACTTAAGTCCTTACGAAATAAATAATCAAAATGTGTCCTAAGTTTACTTTAATAATAAAATTTGCAAATATGAAACTTAAAGGTAATTCACAAATCAAGCACTTTTTAGAATAAAGTTTTACATCAAAAAAATTATTAGTGATTAGTTTTATTTTTACATAAAATATTGTGTGACATTGGCGGAATTTCTGTCTGCCAAAACTTTACCCCAAGTATTGACTCTAATAATAAAACCTCTCCTCTAGCATACAACGAATTTGTATGACAGTGAAAAAAATTCAAATTTTTTTGAAAAAAAGAATTAAACCCTATATAACGCTGTAATACGAAACTTTTATAAATTTGGATTAAACTATATTTAATAAAAAATACATTTATTATGATCTCAAACATAAACTCAAAAGTAAATCCTACGATTATTTTATAGACTTTATAAAAGTTAATACCAAATTATTCATTAAAATTTTCTGCGAAGTTGTTTTCAATTAACGGATTTTGTTTGTGTTTTCTGCTGTGAGATTTCCTTCGATGATCTTTTAAAATCCCAAAAGTTGAAAATTTCTTTCTACACACATCACATTCAAAATGTTTTTCTATATCAGGCACATGTGAATCTTTATGTCGTCTAAAAGCATTTTTGTCTCTATAAGAGAGAGTACAACTAGGTTCTGTACACACATATGTGTGTTCATTCATATGTCCATTTATATGAGATTGTAAATGACTTTTTAAGTAAAATGCTTTGTGGCAATAATTACAGCTGAAGGGTCTTTCCTTGAGATGAAATCTCTGATGAATTTTAAGCTCACTAGGCGTTCGACATTTCCTGCGACAAATTTCACATAGATACATCTTTTCGATCACTTGCCCTAAAAATAAATATTGATCACATTTCTAAAAAACAGAATTGTTATGAATACTTTGTACTTTGTACTATGAAATAATCCTATGATCCAATCTCTGTAGTATTTTTTGTAAATACATATACTAACTTCAATTCAATGACCTTTTTTTTCAAATATGTATATTATTGATTCATAATTTTTTTTCGTCAAGAATGCTACTATAAGTTTTATTGTCATCTAAAACATGTTTAATAGAATGTCTTCGTAAAGATCTTTTATTTCTGTAGGATGCCGCACAATTCAAAAAGGAGCAGATAAAATTCTTTTCATTCGTATGCGCTTTTTTGTGCTCATTTAAATGAGAAACAATGTAAAATGTTTTATTACAAATACCGCATTCAAATGGTTTATCACTTCCATGAAATCTTGTATGAATTTTTAACTCATGCGGTGTGCGAAACTTTTTCTCACATGATTTGCATATGTAGACTTTATTAGAAATATTACCTTTAAAATAAAAAGTGAAATAAACTGCATAAAAAATATAAATGTTAAGGCCTTTTAGTTATAATTTAGGACTTGATGTAAACGGTCATTTCCTTTTTGAACGAATGAAGTCTTTCTTTTCCAATTAACAAAAAAAAACATTTCATTTTTCAACGAAATTTTGAAACTACATTAATGAGGATTCAAATGAGACCCAAATAAAACTCATAATTTTATTAATAATTTGTGGCTATTTTAAGTCATAGCCATTTAATGCACATTTTCGCTTGTGCAGCCTTAATATTCAATATAAAAACAATAGAAATAGTTACCTGAATGGCTATTAGAGTGTACTTCCAAATGGCTTTTAGAAAAATACGATTTTGGACACAAATTACATTTATATCTTCGATCGTTTTTATGCATTCTTATATGATAATCTAATTTGAAAGCGGTAGGTAAACTTTTTCCACATTCTGGACACAAATATTGATCTCGACTTTTGCGTTTTTCTTTTCTTAATTCTTTTTCTTCTCTAGTTAAATGAATTGCATCCCAATGCTTATTAAACGATATTTTCTTTGAAAAGTTTATTTTACATATTTTACATTCATAAACATCGGCCAGATTGAGCAACTTCATATAATCGATGCCATTTTCAAAATTTATTGATTTGGTTTTGCTTCCATTGCTTACATTATTAATTTCTCCAACAATGGTACTACTAATATTCACTAAATTTTCAGTACAGCTTCCGAAATTTATATTAGGGTTTTTGTTTGAGTTATTCGTAAGGGTTTTTTGATCAACAACTATAGCTAATAAATCTTTAAAGAGAGCATTTTTGTTATTATTTAAATGATCTGCCTTCATATGAAAAGCAATTTTTTCACGATCATTGCATTCAAACTCGCAAAATCTACATTTATAATTGAATTTATTTACATCTTTTTTCTTATCATGTATAGCCGAATGTGTTGGCTTTTCTGCAGTCGTATTTAGTTCTAAAGAACAGATATAAGTTTGGGTAGGTTTCAGAAGTTTCTCGGTATCTGGTCTCTTTTGACAAGAAATGATTTCATTATTATCGAGCAAAAAATGATTTACTTCGTCCATATTGTTTTCATTGTCGAGCAAGTATTCTTCATTCATTACCTCTAGAAAAAAATGAAACACTTTTATAGTCCAGAATGGATGACATTTAACTGCATTTTAAAAGCACATTTTAAATCAATTCTGAATTAAATTAAAATGTGTTGATTTACATTAGCTACCTTTTTCATACGAACTCATCAAACTTGTGTTTTCGTCATTTTGATGTCTTTCTGTTTCCAGGGCAAATATCTCATTTTTAAAGCTCTCATAAGTTTTCAAAATTTTGGATATGAAATGGTTTATATCTTCAATTGTGCACAAACATGTATAACAGATATTGTTGGGTAAATTCTCTTCTCTAAGATCTATAATTTTAGATAACCAAACAACAATACGTAAATCAAGATCCTCAATTGAGGAAAGATTTTCCCTTTTTTCTCCACAAAACCGACAATGCTGATCCATTTTTTTAATTTCCTTCCCTAATTTAAATTTGAAAATAATTTTCTATTTTTTTTGTTTTGGTAGGATATACAAGTTAGATGATGTAAATCTTGACATTATAAAATATGAGCCGTGATGTAAATACATTAATTTAATTTGACACTTTGACAGTGACAGTCAAAACTTTTCTTATGACTTTGATAATAACAGTTTATGAATTATGTTCCTCTCTCATGCCTGACAGAAATACAGGCCAGGACCCTAGGAGAGAGTAACAGTTCAAAGCTGATGAATTTACACGTATTCTTATGGAATCTTTAGAGGGCCCTTTTTAACATCATAAATCTCCCACAAATCATCTTTTTTCAAATTTTCAATTAGTAAAAATTTAAATGCAAACTTTTTCTACTTTACTAGTGCTTACATTCTAAAAGTTTTGTGTTATTAAAACATTAAAAATTGATTTAAACAAAATTTTTCAGATTTCAATAAATGCTACACTACAATAAAAAATATATTGAATTTTTTTTTTCGAAGTATTTAGTGCTTCAAATTCATTAAAATTACTGCATGTGGGATTTTTTGTAATGTCAAGTGTTCTCTCCAAATAATGCAGTTAAATATCTGTGCAAATGTAAGGTTAAAACTTAAAACAAGATCCTGGTCATACATACGTCATCCTGGTTTATATTTTCATTGATTACATTATTTTGAAAATTAAAAACAATTAAATATAATTTTCAAAACTTAAAAATTTTCCGAAGAGAAAAAATCATTTTAAAATTTTTATTTAACAGAAAAATTAAATTGTGTTGTAATATATCAAAATATTACATCAAAGATAAAAATATGTAGTGTAACTGTAAAAGCAAATGTGAAAAAAAAACAATCCTACTTAATTTGTTTTCCAACCAATTCTGAATTATGTGATATTTGGATTTGTGAGTGCAATAAGACAAAACTAAATACGAAAAATGCTAAAATATGCTCCTTCCATTTTGACAGTCAGGATTACACATTAAAAAGTAATCTTTTAAATCTTTCTTCAAAAGAGAAGAGTAACAACTTCAACTATTTCAACATTGATGTTATCTCAAAAGCCGTCAAAGAGGACATTAAGAGTTAGTAAGAGAAGAAGCTACCTGTCTCTTAGTTTCAAAGTAATGTTTTTTCACATAAAGTTCAGAAAATTCATTTGATTTGAAAAATATTTTTAATTATAATTGTGGTTACGAAAACTTAAATAATGTTCCTTAAGTTTCTACAACTGAAATTCAAACTGAGTAAGGCCAAGAATATTTACTTTGAATTTATTATTCAAATCTAATAATGGTATATGCAGTTATAATTTTTAAAGACGATTTTGAATGTGCGCTGCAATTACTACTATTTAAATAGCGAAGGAAGTGCATACAAAAATTTAGAAAAACAAAATGCTGAATTGATTGAGGAAACAAATCAACTAAATAATAATTTAACAAATATGGAAAAGTCAGTGAAAAAGTTTTCATTCAAGGGCAGATAAAAAATTACAAAAAAAAAGGTTAAATGGAATGTAATAGATATGTACTTGCGCAATAGGTTTATACTCACCAGGTCCTCGTGCAAAAATAATTATCCGTTACCAGGTAAATTTATCAATTTCGCTTGAATCTAATTTGAATTGTGATTTAACACTGTTAATAACAGGTGAATAAACTTAAAGAAAATGCTCTTGAAAGAAATACAAGTAGATGTAACGAAAACATGGTTTAGTCATCCAGAGAGGGTAGATAAGAAAGCTTCGTTTTTGCTGATGGACCTAATTTATTGAAATTACTAAGAAACCATTTCTTAGATACAGGATATCTATATAAAAATAAAAATATTTCTGCGGAACCTACTAAACAAATATTAAATTTAAATACAGGCAATTCATCACGCTTAACAATCATAAAGTATCAGAATTACAACATACAGTTAAAAACACTCAACCGCAAAATGTAAAGTTAGCTACTTAATTAATTTCCCAATCGATATCATCCTTTTTATGTAGAGTTGCTTATCTTGGCAAATGCAATACTGAAAATGCAATCTAATGCCCAGTATTAAATCTGTAAATGATTGGTTTGATGTATTGAACGGCACAGTTATCAAAATTTATTTCAGGAATCGAAAAGCAGCTTATGGTTTAACTCATGAAGAACAAAATGAAATTCTTCATAAATTTGATGTTATAACATTTAACTTAAGAATAAAATATGGTTAAAATAATTTGCTGCCTTTCCAAAAGGGTACCTTAATTAGTAATAAGTCATTAAGGGAACTATGCTTACTTAAAAGATAGTTATGAATTTAATTTTATTTTAACAAATCAAAACGCTTTAGAAATTTTTTTTAACCATATTTGATTTAATGGTGGTCTTAACGATCATCGCACTAGTTTAAAGTTTAAATATCGTTTACGGTTGTACTTATTGAGTTAGTTTTAAATATAGTATAAAAAATATCTTATTGCTAATGCAACTCGTTGTTTTGATAATATTATGAATTTTCTACATTTTCATGCAAAATGTTTTCAGTTAATCGTTTTTGTTTTTTTCGAATATAGAACTTGAAGAAGATATACCTTTACTTTTCAAGTTGGAATAGTTTGAAAGACAACAAACTTATATTTGGAAGAAATTCTAGTTGATTTCATAGAGCATAATGATGAATACACAAATCCTGAAAAATTTGAAGAGATAAACTATTGAAACAAAATTTTTCATTTTGTTCTAGAGATTCAAAAACTTTTATCCACTTGATCTAGTAGCTCAAATCTTCTTTTAATAAACAAATTATTATTTAACAATATTGATAAAGAAATAACAAAAAGATATCGGCATTAAATAGTAGTGATTTTACCAAATTTCAATAAATTAGATTCTTTATTAAACTTTTTCCATTTTTTCTGCAACATGCTCTTCCGTTTCAACTAACTTTTTTGGTTGATTAAAAAAATTAATATCCTGTGATGGACATTCAAAATGGACGACATGAAATATCTAAAAAAAAAAAGACAGATGTATAATAGCAGATCTATATAATATTATTATTACTTCGTTGGCTGTATTATGCGTTCCCACTACTTTTATAAAAACAACTGCTCTTGGAGTAAATTGAAAACTTTGCCACGACCGGGCCGGTTCGTTTCTTTTATCAACAACCATTTCCCAATCTTTTTGATTGGTTGAAGTTTCTATATAGAATCCATAAGTCCTTTCATCACAATCCCAAAGCAGTAACCTAAATGATCCAATATAATACGGTTGACCTAATAATAAATTTCAAACTAGTTTAATTAGTTTAATACAATATATTTTCCATACCCAATCTAATCAATATAACACCGCTTCCGAGTTGATGACACGTATATCCTAAATGTACTCATATAATAAATGAAATATCAGTTAGCTCAAATATAACGACTTACCCGAGTCCCAATCATAATTGCTGTAATCACCATTCAATAAAGCGTTCCTTGTTCTACTTACACCTTCCATCACAACTGCACTCATTTCAACAGTTGCTACATTATGTGTCGGTGCAACAAAACCGTTTACAAGCTTTGGTATATTTGCAGTATAATAAGCCTCTAAAGCCACGACATGAAAAACCTGAAATAGGCATTTTTATAAAATTGGAAGATATACACAGATTCTTCTTTAAAATTTAACATTAAGTATGTACGTACTTTATTCACGGTGTTGTGTGTGCCCACGAGTTTAATATACTTTATGGCTTTTGCTGGAAAATATAAAAATTGCCACGATCGACAATGATAGGATGAGTAATCAATGACACGATCCCACTGTTTTTGGTTGACTGATACTTCAATAAAATATGAATATGATCTTGTATCATGATCCCACAGTAATATTTTTATATGATTTATAATACTGATAGTTCCAAGTTCAACAATTATACCCGAATCATTAGCATCTGTTATGGTATGTCTTGTATAGCCTTTCTCCATATCATAAGATTCAGGAATAATGTGTCTAAAATTATATTTATTTCATATTTTATGTTCAAATCAATTGAAAAAATACGTACCCATCTAGTAAAGCAGATCTCCACTCACCCTGAATAGTTCGAGAATTAAATTTCATTGAAGCAACATTTTCTTCCAGCCCTAATAAATATGTAATTTATTTACAAATTAAAAAAAATATTTACATTATATTATTTGTTTTTAACATACATAGAGCTCCTCTGTATTCCAGTGATTTTGAAGTTGTTTGTTCTTCAATTGCGTCAAGAAGTTTTTCAGGGGATAATATTCCTGACGGTCTTACAACTTTTAAAAGCTGGTCTAAGTTCATCAATGGTAATCTCACATAAGAAACGACTGACTAAAAAATTTCAAATTCGAATTAATTTAAGTATATAAAGTTTAAATTTTAATTATTGTTTTTTATGTTCAAATTACAAATTAGGTCTGTTCATTATTGAAAAGTCTAAATTTCATTGCGGAATATTATGGGAAACTAATTCTCTAATTCAGATATTTTAATTTTTAATTTGAAATTCAAAATTCATTCTGAATAAACTGGTTAAAAATTAATGTTAGTTTATTTACAATAAAATCTCAATAACAATAAATACTAAATTATAAAAAATATTGCAAAATAGGTAATAATTAAATTGAAACAAATCCACTTCTTTAAAGCCATGATATTTTAAGAATTTTACAAAGATCTCATTTATCTTACATATATCTAAAATATAAAAAAAAAATGGTTTAATTGGCGGGCAATTATATGAAATAGTTGTGATTGAGAATTAAAGGAATAAAAAATGTTCCTTAAGCATGATTTTACGTAAGTGTTAGTTAGCAAAAAAAAAATTAAAATTATATGCTTACCTCTATATCAACATTGTTGTTATTTTTACACCACTCATTTACGGCAACAAATATTTGAACTTCAGGAGCAAAAAAAGAATCTCTCCTCAAAATTTCTTCCAAAGATTCTTTAGAAAGGTATTTAAAAGATTCATGCGTTAAAATTTCCGCTGCATTTCTATCCATGAATGTATGACACACATTTGTTAGAGCTTCTAAATTGTAAAGTCGTGCAGCATCTAATATAGCACAAATATTATCTAAAGATAATATCTGCCTAAGATGTTCTGATACAGCAACTTCAAGTTCTGTAAATCCGTACTCATTTGCTAAGCCCAGAGTGTCCAATACTGTCTCCTCTTTCATTTTTGTTAAAGACATGCGACCAGAATATATATATTGAAGTAATACTTTGAACGCTTCTAGGGGAATTTTCAACGCAATTTCTGCCTGGTTCGATTCTGATAGTCCTCCATATAAAAGTGCTCGGAAATATTCGCTTCTTGCAGCTAAAATAAAAATTCGTGATTGTAATTAGATTTTAGAGATTCGTAAAAGGGCAGTTCTAAATGCATTTTTAATATTTTCTTAAAACTTAAACATTGCTTTTAAAAAAGTAAAGAATATTATTTTATAAAAAAATATTAAACAACACTTTCGTAACCAGCTTTATGGAAGTGTTATAATTACCAAGAATCACTCGATGTGCAGGTAGCTTCTGCCCTTCTACAAGGAAGGTAACATCTGAACAATGATCAGACATACATAACTGAGCCATTTGCGCAGAAAATTGTTCTAAAATCAAAATTTATTACTTATTCATGGAAATGAAAATATAGCTTATAATGGCCTTCATAATATACCTGTCAGTTCAATTTCTCCTGTGCGATTTTTTGGACTTAATCCAATTTTATGACTTTGGCTACTCATATTTACAACTGAATTTTGGTTTTTATATAATTACGATAAAATTAGTTACATTTTATATAATTCCCCAAAGCTGAATTATGTGTTATGAATCTCAACCCAGTATATTGTATAAAATTTACAACGCAATTTCTAGAAACAATAGAATAATTCTGCCACTTAAATATTTATTGTTTATTGTGGTAAACTGCACAAAATATATTTCATGAAAATTTATTTTTTATTATTTATTTATGATTTGATATTGTATTTTTGAAACAATTTTTAAAAAATACTTTTAGATCTTGCAAGAAAATTCGCCGAATTTGACGGATGAAAATTTTATGTTTGACAACAAAAACATCATTTGAGACATCCAATTTTAACAAGTGTCATTATATATTTTTAACCCTGAGTGATCCTAGAGGAAGAATGACTAAAAAAACAAACAACTTAATTCGCTAAAAATAAGTAAACCAAAGTGGTTATATACAAGATAAAAAAAGTATTTATAACAAAATTTAAGATATAGGGAAAAAATGTAAACAGCTAAAGTAATTAGTTTATGCCATATTTCATATTTCGTTTCATATTTTTATTAAAATGTCAAAGCAAAAATATTTTAAATACTAATAAATTGGAAAAAAGTCATTTGAATCAGAAAAAAGCGTAATTGATTAATTGTAATTCTTTACTGCATAAAGGTATGAATAAAAATATTTGTAAAATAATGAAAATAGCTGTAAATAAAATTTTTAATATTGAATTTAATGAGCTGAACTTATTGTAGTTGAGTTGAAAATGTTTTACTAAAATTGATTTTTTACAAGTTTGTAAATAAAGCCGTTTATTTGTCACTTATTTACTCTCAAATTATAAAAAGTTTTACGCTTAAATTGATGCAGCATTAAGCATAACGCAAGTGGTAGGAAAAAAATTGGTTTTAATTTTGTTAATTTCCGTCCAGTGGCATTCCTCATTTACAATTCCAATCATTACTTTTGACGTTTTACGCATATCAACATCCACTCACATATTGAAAAAAAAAGAAAATAAATTTATATCTCGCGGTAAAATTGTCTCGGCATATCCAAATTGTGTGAATTTCAATGAAGTTGCTAACAACTCTTAACATAATTTAAAAAATTATATACGTGTCACAATTTTTACACAGAAACTACTCTTCCTGTTGGTATTAGACATCTCTTTTTTTTGATACATGTAAAGAAAGAGTTGTCAAATTTGACATCCATAGATTTTTTCTTTTTGATATTTGCTTGAAATCAAGATGGTATGTTTTAATTTATATAAAATAGTTATTCGAATTTATTTATTTCATCCTTTATTGAATATGGTTGATTTATATTCAAAATGCTACAGCTTTTTCAGCAAAACATGATAAACATAATATTTAAGATGAAGCAATAAATTCTTCGATGTATTTTTAGGTAAAAGTTAAGTGCTCAGAATTAAGGACGAAGGATAAAAAAGAGTTGCAGAAGCAACTCGATGACTTGAAAATGGAGCTCTTGAATCTTCGAGTAGCCAAGGTTACGGGAGGTGCTCCATCAAAATTATCCAAAATGTAAGTTTATTTTCCGTTTTTTTTTTTTTTGTAAACAAATAGAAACATTCTTAATTCGAATGTTTGCATCAAATTGTATACATATTATTATACATAATATTCAAGTATTTACGAACATTCATTTTTAGACGTGTTGTCCGGAAAGCTATTGCTCGTGTATACATTGTGATGCACCAAAATCAAAAGGATAATTTAAGGAAATTATACAAAAACAAAAAGTTCAAGCCACTTGATTTAAGACAGAAGAAAACTCGCGCTATGCGTAAGGCTTTATCTCCAAGAGATGCTAACAGAAAAACATTGAAAGAAATTAGAAAGCGATCCATTTTTCCTGTAAGAAAATTTGCAGTCAAAGCATAGTTATTTCTTGAACAATAAAAATTTCAAATATATGTGAAAAAAATTAAGTTTTACTTTAAAAGTCAAGAATAGAAAAATTTGTAATATAAAACTTAATAAAAGCCTCAGCTAGGTTTACTGTATGAAAAATATTTATGTACATACATATACATATGAAAAAATCAACAGAAACTCAGTTGCCAAAAATCCTACAATTAAATTACAAGCAATTCTCATAATCATTTTAAACGACGTGGAAACTGCAAAGATTAAACCGATTGAACTCATCATCATAAAATTTGAACCAATTCATTTTAAAAACAGGTTTAGCTCCTTCACAGTTTTCTGAAAAAAAAGTATTTAATTAGGAACCTACTGAATTTAAAAAAAAAATGATAACTAGAAAACAAAAAAAGATTTTTAAATATAGAAGATATGGATATGTAAAATGCTGCATGAGTGCTGTACTGAAAAGCTTTTTACATCCATTCATGTGTTATACAAAATTAATATCTAAAACAATTTATTAGTTACCCAAAATTAATACGTGTTTTTTTCGATATATCTAAATAAATAGCAACTGAAACATCCAAAAAATATTTTTTAATATGGTAAAACCTCAACAGCACACAAATAAGACACAATGACAGGTTCTAAATACATTTTTCTCATTCATTTTCAAATAAAAAAAAAAAACAAAATTTTTATCATTTTAATATGCATATTACAAAATTGTAGGATATTGTAATTAAAAAATTTTTAACAACAGAAAAATTCTATTTTCTTCGAGATTACTGATGCCTAAAAGACTTCGTTCTAATTTTTATAGGCCCACGTATGAGTAAAATTTGTAAATTTTTGCTTTTGCAGTATGTATAGTCAATCTTCTCTATTGCTTCTTTATTGTTAATCTTTTCTGAACATTTCAAAAGATGAAAATAATACATTTACATATGTACGTTCACAAAATATAAAATCACCCTGTTTTTATTTAAAAGACATTATTTTAAATTTTCTGAAATGGCAGTACTTCACATTGTTTTGATAGCTGTCATACAAACATTTTGTATGTATGTATTTGAAATTTTGATTGAAGTTTCAAAAAAAAAAAAATAATTTTTTTGCGTTTTTTCTTTAGTTTGATCTTTGAAGTTTCTAGAGAAAAGATGGTCGAGGCAGTGTTGTAAAAAAATAGAAAAACCCAAATTTTAAGAAATATTAATTAATAAAAAGAAATTTAAGCCAATAAAAATAAATTATATTTAGAAAAATAATAATTTTCGTGTATTTTTTTGCAATTATTGACGTGTTTTGAAACAGAATTGAAAATCGGAAAGAAAGAAATTTGTACAATTGACTTTAAATTACTTTTCTTTTTTTTTAAATAAAAGTGAAAACAACTTTTTAAAATGCGTGCTAATACATAAGTGTAATAAAACAAAACTGGTTAATGTAAGTTCCTTTTTTTTATCAAGGCTTGCTTAATATATATTGATACATGATACCTAATATTTCAATATTCATTTGGATGACTACCAAATAATAAGCTAGTGACCATCAAATAATGAAGATAGGAATTAAAATTTTGGAATAAATTTTGTGAGCATTCTATAAAAGTTCAAATTATATTAATAAATGTTTATATTCGCTAACTAGATTATTAAATAAATAATTAAGAAAGGACTTCTTAAATTAGAAGGTAGGTAAGATTATATGTACGAGTAGGTAATAGTTGCCTAGATGACGACAGGCAAATGCTCAAATTTCTATTATATTAAAATAAAAATTTATGTATAAATACTCGGCTATTATCAATTGTTTTAGGTATTAAATATTGAATTTCAAATAAAATTTTGATATTAATTATATATATTATAATATTTATATTATAGGTATGTAGGTACCTAAGTACTTGCAAATCAAATAAAAATTTATAATAATATTATGAAATTTTTGCACATAAAGGAAGCCACATTTGTGGTTATCAACCAACAAACTATATTAACTATATATAAACTATTGATTATTTATGTACATATACCTACCTATCTATATTAAAAAAGAAAGAAAAAATATTTGCTTTAAACGTGATTTATTTTGTAAACGTTTTAAAATTCTTAATAAATATGGCATATAATTTAGTTAATTTATATATTTTTCAAATTCTCGTTATTTAGGTAGGTACCTATACTTACTTATTTCTAAATTTACAAACATTTTAATTTGGCAGAATTATGTTAATAGGTACCTGCCTAAATAAATTGTTAAGGCTAAATAAGAGTTCATTTACGAGATTCATTTCATAGTGAACTTGGATAACATACAATAAATATATTATACGTATGCTGCTTTCTTTTTAGCCCTAAAATTAAAAAAAAAATTTTTTTTTTTTGTATTTAAAGTTTAAAGTTGTTTAGATTTAGTTTTACTTGTTTCATAAACAGGTAGGTAAACCTTGCTACCAAATTACCTATTTTCAGGTAAAAAGAAATTTACATACTACATATTTAGTTTAGCTAGAGATTGTTGAGTATGCAAGAAAGTATACCAATATAACATATAAAATATAAATTAATAATTGATTTAATAATTTATTATAATGTTCGTGCCTTATACAACAAAGAAGTAATAGAGATAAGAAATTTGTTAGTCAAATGATTTGTTTAAATATTATAGTTAGTTATTAAGCTGGCATTAAGTAGTTTAATATTTATACAAAGTTTGATTTTAATTTGATTCATTAAGCATAATTATATTTATTATACATAATTAGGGAGCTGACTTGACCTACCTACCGCCCTACCCATATGTAACTAAAGAATTCGAATTAATAATTTTCTTAAGTATTTCAGTAAAATTTAAAAAAAAAACCAGTTTCAAACTACTTTCCCTTTTTTTTTATTTTAGAAAAACATATAAGATAACTGGTACTAATGCTCACTTATATTGTCTAGGTTTATATTGTCCATACAAATTTTGATAATGGAAACCGTTTAAAGTCATTGTACTTTTGAATGTTTTTCGATTTTTTTTTCTATTTAACATTTTGTTAACTAAAAGTTTCTTAAACATAACAGAGAACAACTTACCAATTTTTTTATTCAAATTTTTTATATTTTTGTTTGGTAGGTAGTGTTAATATTTTTTAGATTTTATTATTTTATTTTTAAACAATTTTCATAATGATAAGCAGTTTAATTTTCTTTTTTTTATGTTTATTATAAACATAAATAAGTAAGTAATCGAAACGTTCGCTATAAATATTTAAATACTTAAAAAACAAATTTTGTTTTTGATAACAAAACAAATAAGTATTAAAATTAATTTCTACTGATAAAATGTTTTTATCTAATTATTTTATTAAATATTTTTCAAGACTATGTTAAATAATAACAACTACTTATTCGAGTAGCATAAAATTTTAAATACCTACTCAAATAGGTGGTTTTCTTTAAAGAAAATGTTTAATTTCAATAATTATTTGAAAACTATCGAAATTGAAAGTAATGAATGAGTCAGTATAGTTTTACTTTTACTTATTTTTTCATAATTTTTTGTATTAAATTATAATAATCTTTGGTTTCGAAAAGTAATTTTTTATACAATAATTAGGTAGTAATTTCTTCATTTTGAATAATTCCTTCAATGATTGTTTTACAATCATACTATCTGAAGAACGAGCTCTAGACTAGTTTTGAGAAAATTAAATTTTAGAAACAGACAGAAATTTTTATGATAATCAAATAATAGTGATCCTAAAATCTTACGTAATTTCGAACTTATTCTAATATTTATAAAATCAAGAACAAAACGGAAATAACAATTTTCCAGTCTTTAGGTAATACAGTTCAGTATCACACTGATCGTATCTTTGAGTGTGCAACTCATACCTCCTGCAAATTACATAATGTGCAAATATATTTATACAGTTTTGAAAATTTTTTAAAATAAAATTATTAAATTTTAAAATAACATATTAGAAAAAAATTTCATTTGCAATAACACGGTTTTTGATCTTAAAATTATCAGAACGTTTACAAAGAAAAAAAAACTTTTGATCGCATTTTACTCTTAATGTACATTGTCTTATTCTCTTTTAATTAAACGTTCATTGACGTACAAATGTTATACATATGTATGCGTGTTTGTATATATATTAACATTAAAGTATTGAATTAAATTTTATTATGGTGTAATGATTTGTGTATTTAGAATAAGAAACAAATGTACATACTCGTATGTATAAAATAAATTTTTTTAATCCAAAAATAAAAATAAAGATTTCTTATTTTTAATTTTTATATTTATGTATGTATGTACTTATATATTTCATTAGTACCCACAATCAGGCAATATATAAAAGTATGTATGTATGTATATATAACAATATACTCGTGTAATTTGAACAATTTTTTTTTAATATAAGAATTTTTAATTTTAATATATCTAGCGATGTAATTTAAAATAAAAAGAATTTTTATTGCACATTAAACGTTTTAATTATAAAATTATTACGATTTTAAATATAAAATGCATATTTTAGAAGCAAACAACTAAAATAGTTAAAATTTACTACCCATTACAATCAATCAAAGAGGTGGGGTTCTTTTAATTTTTTGTTTGTTTTTATATTATTTTCAGATTCAAAAAATTTTTTTTTTTTTTTCAATGGTTGATAATTTTTCCGAAATATAATTTTTTTTTTTTTTTTTTTTTATTGGTGTGAAAAGAAAACTTCCTTTTATTCGGAATAAAATACTTTTATTTTTCGCTAATATATTTCGTGCGCTACATACGCACGAAATATATTAGCGAAAAGAAAATCAGCTTTTCCAGAAATATATTCTTCTGGAAAAGAAAATCAGCTTTGATAAAGTGCGTATGTAGCGCACGAAATATATTAGCGAAAAATAAAAGTATTTTATTCCGAATAAAAGGAAGTTTTCTTTTCACACCAATAAAAAAAAAAAAAAATTATTTTCAGAGTTTATTTATTAAAGCCCATAAAGTTTATGAACTAATTTTTTTTTTTATTTTCAAAATTATTGAGACTCCCTCATTGTAAACAGAAGCTGATTCTACTTACTTGCCTACATATATTTAAATTTATTTTATTAAAAGTGATGTTTCAAAAAGCTCAATAGATTCCTTACCACGTATATTTAACTCATGTGATTCGTTTTCAAAATTTATTAAAATACAGAATGATGTCACTTTTTATAGATTATTGTTTATAGTTTGACATTTTGATTTTTTTTTTTTTTTTTGTAATGTATTCCAAAGATTTTGGTCTATCTTCAATTATTAATATTTGCGTGTCAAAAGATTTAAATTTTATTTAAATATTTTAATTTATCATTTTGAACGGTAACCAAAAAAAATGATCTCTATGCTTTTCACATCCATCTTCTTTCTCATACATGCATCTTATATAATTTTATTAGATTAAGCATAAAGAACTCATAATTATAAAGTGATGCATGCAAAATTATAAGATTATCGGATATGCATTCATATATCTAATATATTGCGCATTTTATACATGTTTTATTGGATACATAAAGTATATACACGTACATATAGATATGTATATACATATATGTAAATTTAATTTTTATTATTTATTCTGGAAATGTTTTAGCGCGTGCATTTTAAGATACAAAAATTAAAAATTTATGTTGACTGAAGAAAATATTGCCACGCGCATTTATTTATTGTTTTTTCTTTTTAGAAAAAAAAATACCTTATAAGTATGCATGTTTTGATTCTTTCCGATAATTTATTTTATGGTTTGTGTGTATTAACAATTTTTGTACATACAATAATGCTACAAATTTAGTTCATATTCAATTGATTGCGTTGCAAAAGTTGATTGCATAAAAATATTTGAAATTTTAAAAACTTTTGGAAGAATTAATAAGTTTTTGTGTTTTCGAAGTCAAAGTAGTTTTATAAATAAGGTGCCTTTTACCCCTGATAAAAATTGTTAAAGGAATGATTTGTTGTTAAAACATTTTTTGCATCCCAATTGTGCTTCGCAATTAAAGAAAAAATTAAGAAAAATGAATTCATAATTAATAAGAATTAAGGAAGATTTTTTAATTTTACAATCTTAATTGAAATTTAATTATTTTAATATTTCTATATAATATTTAAATGTACCGATTGTTTTTCGCTCTATTTTCGAAAATGTTCAATTAAAAAAAATTTTTTATTTGCTAAGTCAACACTTTTCTTTCTTTTCTTTTCAAATTGAATATAGTTTAAGTAAATATTTATATCTACATACATACATACATATACTTATCAAAATATAATATACATCGTTATATTATATCCATACATATACTTACATATTATGTTTATATGTTTCATATGTTTGGTTTTATAAATTTTTTATTTAAGTATGTTTTAGTTGTATTAAGAGAAATTAAGCGTTTTTTCTTTGTGAT